ATATATATATAAATTGATCCAAAGGTGAAAATATTTTTTCTTTAGTTTTTTCTGGACCATTTACTTTACATATCCGATCAGTTTTGTTTAGTGTTTACAAAATTAAATTGATCAAAACCAAACCAGTATTTTTTAATACACACGTGATATTGTATGTTGCTTATGTAACTTCTAATATTAATATTAACAGTTAAATAATATATTAACATATCGTTAAACTGTACAAAAATATTTTTTACTATTAATATATTAATAGTTTTTTTTAGGATTTAAAGTTTAAGATTTAGGACTTTTTGACTGAGGTTCAGAATATTCATCATCGACATTTAAATATGAAATGATATGTTTGTTAATTTTGTTGTTGATCATTACAAACATGATGCATATACGTATTTTTATGGCCTTCAATTATAATTGGATTCATCTTCTTTTAAATGCCTTCAAGCCCTTGGGTGTTTGCAGGGTGATTTGTTTCGATTTTTTCTTAAAAAGTTTTCAAATTAAATAAAAAATTAAGTTTGATTTGAATGAATTATATTAAATCAAACCAAATCAATCTTTTAATATTTAGTTTGATCCAATTGTTTTGATTTTAAAAATTTATTATTTAAATATTAATTAAAAATATGTAACATTATATTATTGATCTGATATAATTAAAAATATACAAATATTAAAATATTTCAATTACTTGATATATTTAACATCAATTCTTATTTTATTATTTTAGTAAAAATATTTCTTTAATATAATATTAGTTATTATATTAAATATTTTTTTACATGTATATAGGCTGTCACTTAAAAAAAATTGAACCTTATAAATAAATCATAATTTTTCATTTTAAAATCCAGTTTAATAATTTATAATCTTATAAAATAATTTTTAAGTATTATAACATATATTTAGAGAGAGAAACATATTTTAGTAGCTTAAAATTTTATAAAAACATATATTTATGTTATGTATCAATTTTGTATACATGCATTATGCATTTGAAAAAATATATAAATTAGTACAGTTTGGTTTAATTTAGTTTATAACAGTCTCAAATTGTTATCCAAAAATTAAATTAAATTGTGCGATTTTAGAAATTTTCAAATTAAATCAAACCACTAATTTGGAGAAAATTTTTTTATTGATTTCCAATTTTTTGGATTAATTTATAATTTTTTATTTGAGTTGATTTGATTTTGAACATCATTATTTTTAAAGTTATCATTGAGTTGAAAATGAACAATTAAGACCACGTGAGTGAACTATAATAAAAGTCTTCAAAACTAAGCTTAATTTTCCCGTTTGAGACAATAAAAATTTATATCATATTGTAGACTTTTTTTTTATCTTGTACCTATAAAAAAACTATAACATTACTTTTGAGGAAAAAGATTAAAACTATACATCCAGTGTAATATTACAAGAAGAAAAAGTAAGCTCTAAAATAAATGTTGTTGTAATATTAATTATCTTTTATTTAGTTATATCCTTAATAATATTATTTAAAAAATCATTATTATGTTATATTATTTATAGGAAAAAATAATTATAAAATTAATTTTGTAATATTGTTTTCTTTAATCTATTAAAAAAATTGATGTGTAAAATTATATAGAATGAGCATGAGAAAGTAATATTTTTTATATTAATTAAATATATGTTCGAAAACTTATCACATAAGTCATAACATCTACACGATTGCGTTCTCGTTTTGCCTTTATCTTAACCCTATGCCTCTGCCGTCGTCTGATGATAACTCATTTTTGGCGAGTCAGTGGCATTTCTATCTTACTACAGATGTATTCGGTATTGCTGGGAAAACTAGCTTCGTGAACTTCTAAAGATTTATGGAAGCAGAGATTTAATCAATTTCCGGTCGAGTCACAAATTTGGCTAGATGAAATTTAAATGGTTATATGGCTGAAAACAAAGCAAGGTCCATCGTTTTCCTAAAAGACTAATACCTATTTCCAATGTGTGCTTCATGTAATACTAACTTAAGCATACGAAATTTAAATTTGCAATAACTGTACTCAAAGGTAAAAAACGCAAATCTAACTGTAACAATACAAACAGCCTACATCAAATAAATAAAAACCAAAGTACAAAATATGATTTCCCCAAGTCCACCAAGCACTCTTATCCCAGCTTCTTGATAACAGATTGCCGCAAACCATGTTGACGGGGGAGAAGAAGTGCATCAAGCATCAATAAATCGTATATCAAAGGTGTGAGGATGTATCTGCCATACATTTAATGCTGCATACTCCTCCAAACACTCTTTTAACTGGGCTTCGCTGTATCCCTGTTTGAAAGCCAGAAGTTCTAAGGTCAGAATATTATTGTCTAGAGGGGAAACTGAACAAGTAACTTATCAACAGACAGTGCCTTGCTCTGGCTTCACACAACTAAAACAAAATTCTAAATGCTAGTAGATTTAGTTTAGTTTATAGCCAAGTATCGCATTGTCAGTAATTAATTCCAGAGAGGATCAAGAAACATCATGCAATTGTGCAAAAACTAGGAATAGTATTTACTCAAATTATGCCAGTCTATATAGATTCCCAAACCATTTTGGCTACTCATTTGACAATATATTCACTGTATGACTTTTTATTCAATGAAATAAATGATTCTTCTAATAGTTCCATGATCTTTCTACTGTTCAGTCCTTCGTGTTCAACAAACTTGAATCTAGACTCTTATCAAGTGTGATGCAAAAATCATATGGACAGTATTTGACTTAGACCAGTATGTACTTACCTTCCTAGATATCCAGTTCAGTGCATGGGCATAGCTGACATCCATTCTGTTACCTCTAGCTGCTTCATCTCGCAGTACGGAATAAATATCAGATATAGCATCCAGACCAGATTTGTGACGGTCATCAGAGTACAAAGAGAATTTTGACATCTGCATTAACCTCAGTGCTTCGTCCACATCACTCTGAGCAACAGTTTCAGAAAAACGGAGTCTTGCTAGAGCCTGTTTAGAAATTAAAAATGGAATGATATTTACTTAGACAATATAAATCATCAGATGCTTTCTATTTCACAATGTGGACTTAAAGGCAGAGGCAACATAAATGACTAATAACAGATCTTTAATGCCAAAATTTATTAACCAACACCTAAATCTGTTTTATTTTCAGACAATGCGCTTGGAGCGATGAAATATTTACATAAATTATTAACCCCAAAAATGAAAAGTCAATATAACCTAAATGGAATGCCTAATTTTATTGCTCTCTTTCACCGGTAAAAGATGAAGACTTACAGCTGATATGCGGAGAATACTGAGCAATGTTCTGACAGTTGTGTAGGAATGAGGAGCATTGGACCTTGCTTCTTCTTGACGAATGCTGGAGTATGCACTAGCAATATACTCTTCCAGTTCCCTCGGGACACTAGGAGAAATTCTTCTTGCAGCTGATATGTATGCACTGGATAAAAGCAAAACAATTCAATTTGTAATAGTTTTCTTTTAACGTAGCATACAACAGAACATTGGTAGACTCCTATTTGAAATTATATGAGCAGTTAGAATAAACATGCAATTAATTTAGCAACACATGTGCGCCATATACTCCAGTTTCTAATATTTTTAAAAAGGTTTAAAAGCCATTAGCGATCTTTCTTCAGTACTTACCGTAGAACAGATGGTTCAAGAGGAGTGAATCCTAGGGCGGGAGACTCCTTCTTTTGATGAACATATACAACATGCCTAGCCATTTCAAGATCATTATCCATATCAGCTCGATCAAGGATTAACCACAGAAGATCAAACCTTGATAGGAGGGCATGAGGAAGATTAATATTTTCAGCTGGAGTTCTTCTTAGATCATATCTTCCCCTTCACAATAAAATATGGATAAAATTAGAAATTGAAAGAAAAGGTCTGCACATCTATACGATCATGCTGCAACCAATGAGATGAAAAGAAATAATACCATGCTGGATTAGCAGCAGCAAGGACAGCAGTCCTCGCATTCAGGGATGTAGTGATCCCAGCCTTGGCAATGCTAACGGTCTGTTGTTCCATAACTTCATGTATAGCTGTACGATCCGATTCATCCATCTTGTCAAATTCATCAATAGCACATATGCCCATATCTGCTAGCACCTGAAATTCAGAATGTTCTTTCATAATACCCACTCATAACTGGAAACAACTAGCTAAAAGAACATATATTGTATTTATATAGGAGCTAAAGAAGTAATTTGATGCATGACTTATTATTTACCATCTTAATTTTGTATGAACTGGCAAGTGAAAACATTTCATGCACAGTATTTGAAAAGATTTTTCCTCTTTTTTTTTCAACCAAACATAATATAAGCACCAATAAGGATAGAAGGACTTGTTGCACTTAAAAAAGGAGGCTTCAATTACCAATGCTCCACCTTCCAGAACCATCTCATTTGTCACTGGATCTTTCTGAACAGCAGCAGTTAGACCAACTCCACTACTTCCTCTGCCAGTGGTGTACACCCCTCTGGGTGCTACGTTGATTATGTGTTTAAGAAGCTGACTCTTGGCAACACCAGGATCACCCATCAAACATATATGTAAATCTCCTCTAATCTGCAATCAAACGAAGACTATAATATTTAGTAATTTACTCGTGTATATGAGATACAGCATACACAATAAATCAAACAGAATGCAAAATGAGCTTAACTACAGAAAGTTTGACTAATAGTATTGGAGGGAGAGGGAGAGGGACAAAACACTAATTCCATACTTTTCCTTTAATCACTAATATCATTGTACTTTTGCAAATGACACCATGTCTTAATTCCTACTAATTCAACATAAATTTTGTGTAAAGTTTGAACTTTAATCAGTTAGCAAGTGGTTTTATTTATACACAGTTCATTACCTTCATTCCATCTTTCAACTTCCGATGGGGAGCACCAACAAGGAGAAGAAGCAGTGCCTTTTTAATGTCATCATGTCCAAAAATTTCAGGAGCAAGTGATCGTGCCAATTTGTTGTAGATGTCACCATCCTCTGCTAACCGTGCTATTTGTTCTTCTTCATCTCCTAGAAGTTCATAGCTGACAGAATAAATCAGTTAGGCGGCTGTTGCTTCCCCCCAAACTACTTTAATAAGAATTATAAGATTAACCAGTCGATACATATTCATTATGTTCAAGAAAGCCATTACAATATCAATACTTGCATGGGGTAAAACAAATGGTGCCAGTCAATATCAATGAAGATCTGGAAACTAACTTACTCTTCATATTTTTTCTTGAAATGAGTTACAGACATGGCCTCTAAATAGGTGTCAGCAACTAAGCCGGCACGCACTGCTCGAAAACCAGAGTACGCTATAGGCAGAAAAATCCCGGACAATTCAACCACATCACCAGGAGAAACCTGACAATTTACAAGAAGCATGAGTTAATAAATAGTAGCAGATAATTAACCATTAAAATTCTGCTACTTGATAACATATAAAGTGACTATTAGTTTAATGCCAATTGACAGGAAATAAGCAACCTTTCTTGTGAGTTCTCCTCTTAAATGAACAGTCATTGTTCGTGGAATATGGCCTTTGGGAACATGCTCAGATAATTCTTGAATTTTGGCCTGCAGTTCAACCATATCACAAATCTCTTATGCTAAAGCAAATAAGCAATTGTATAGATTATATATAACAGCATGAATAAAGAAAGCAAATGAATATGTTATGACTGAACCAGAGAGCAAACCTCTTGAAATCTCAAAAATTTTGATGCTCTCAATTGAAGGATAACATTCCCCTTACGTCTATTTGTATCACAACGCTTTGATGGACACTCAAACAAAGGCATGAAGACTCGAGCTGTTACTTCCTGTTTAGGGAGGGGGGGAAAATAACAATGTCAAGGACATACTGGCAAGCAAATTCCATACTAGTCTAGACACATCCCACAAAAGAAAATAATAATCCCTGACTAGAACCTAACTAGGTTTAATAGATAGTTATAATTCTTTAAATATTGTAGTTTAACATCATTGCAATCAAATTATGTAGACAGAGAAAATTTAAAAACTGTAATGGACATTTTTGAATCACCAAGAAAATCCCATGCAATAGTTCTTTTATTTTCTTTTTCCTGCATAAACTATTTTGTCAAAATTGTGCAGTTCAAGCAGTCATTCAACAATCACCTGGTAAATTTCAAAACCACAATCCTCGCATGTGTATACAGCCACTTTCATCAACGGTTTAACATCTGAGCATCGCGTCACAATGCCAGAGATTCTCACAAGCTGACCAATGTTGGAAGCCTTCACCTCCCTAATTGTAAATGGCCGTCCTTTTGAAGATGCTTTAATATAAACCTCACTGCAAAACAAGCACAAGGTAAGATTAGGACTGCGAGTCTGTGACATAAAAGCCAAGGTATAAACACTATACACAATGAGATACTAGTATTTTTGACATTACATAATACCCATGCCTATTGAATTTCTTTCCAAGCAAAACATAAGAAACTGGTCTTAGGAAACAAATTTCAGCAATCCCAATTACACAATTCCTAGAAATTGAATTGAATTGAATGAATGACAATAAAGCGAATCTCACTAGTAGCGCTTGATTTCAGGAGGCATCTTTTGAAGTGGATCAAAACCATCGGTGCCTTCGGGTCCTTCGTCGGATCTCTGAGTCATCAATATGTCATGGTCATCATCAGTGAAGGCCTCAGTGGACTCCGGCATGAGCTCGTCAATTGCATTGGAAAAAATCCCAATATACCTTCGAGTGTTCTCAGTAACACGCCTCAGAAACTCCTCATCCAGATCTTTGTACTGAAATTCTCCAAACATAACAACTTAACACAAGCGTGAATTTCGGTTAAAAACGTATAGTGAAGTGGCAAATCTTACGTTAATTAAGTCCTCGAGGTCGATCTGAACTGCTCGTGTTTTGTGGTTCGCGACATCTTGCTGAAACGCGAAAAGAGTAAGAGAGAAAGGGAATTAGGGCTAACGTCGTCGTTTTCGACGAGAGGCTGAGATAAATAAGAGTGAGAGTGAGAGCAAAATAGAGAAGTTACCAGAATGTTCATGTATTTGGCTTCGCCATTGGCATCTGCGAAGCTGGAAAGAAACTCTTTCGCCAGAGCTGGGAAAAGAACAATGGTTTAATGTTTGGGGTAAAAACCCTAATCGGAAAATTAAAAGGGGAAACCGTTTACCTTTGTCTGCATCGAAATTGAGGTCCTTGGTGCTCATGGTGGCGACGGCGGCTACAGGGCGAAAGACGAGCGAAAAATGTGTTGAGAGACTGAGAATTGGGCGCCAAACCTGTAAACAAGTAGGCAATTTTTGGCGGGAAAGGAACAGACTCCAAGATATGCTGCGGTCGGGTACACGGTAACGAATGATGTGGGAGCATTTAAGAACAATTATAGGACTGTCTATCTAAAAGCCCAAACTAGATAACGTATTCGGGCCCATGCTATTTACACAACCTTTTTACTTTTTGTACTGTCTATTTTCTTTTGTTGTATTTTTTATGGAAATTTGTTTTCCTAATGTAAAATTCCATAAAATGATTTTTTTATACAGAAATTAGTTTTTGTATTGTAACCAATTTTTTTTATTATGCTTTTTATTTTTAATTTTTATCAACAATTTGATAACTTTTATGAGTTGAATAACTTGTTAAATAAAATATACATATTAATGTATTTAATTTAGTTAATTTTGGAATTTAATTTTTATTTATTTTAAATAAATTTGATAATTTAATTACTTGATAAATAAAATATGAGGCAAAAAAATTAGAAAAATTCAAATAAGTCAAATTGTTAAGTAAAAATTAAGGTAAAAATATTAAACAAATACATTTTCTATTTATTTAGTCTAAAAAAACATCATTTATATTCACTTAAATAAGTCTATTTTTTTAGTCAATTTCTTCTCTGTCTTTTCTCTCATAAAATTTTTCTTGACTATTGTTTTTTTTTTTTGTTAAACATTAATGTCAGAACATTCTTGTAATTTCAATACTTTCATGTAGGCACGTAGCAACTAAAAAAAATATGTGGCTCATCTAGCACGTGTTTCACGAAAATTGATAGTGAAAAGAATGTAAGGAAAATTTGGTCTTTGAAGCAAATATGAAAGGCCAACATGATCATAGCCTACACTTCTAAGTTCCATAACATGTTTATGAAGAGATTGCATATTGTTCCTTATGTTTTGCCATCTTTGCATGTATAAGTTTGTCCAATATAGGGGGCTCCAGTGGAATTGGATCAAGACATCGTTCTACAGCAGCAACAATCACCTGTCAACAAAAAACCAAAGGTTCAAAGTAGATAAATGATGAATTATTATTATTATTATTATTTTTTGGAAAAGTATAATGCTAATTTGAAAAGGTCAGAACCAGGACAAGATTGTTTTTCCAACCTCATCAAGCAAGAAGTCCGTGACAGCTTCATCTTCAGCTATTTCTTTTAATGGATTCCTCAAGAACTGAATATCCAATTGAATTTGTTGGAATCCACTCCGGTTTAAAGTATGAAGTCGAACAAATTCTTGTAAACTTTTAAGGCACAATTTAACAATGGCCATAATAACTGATTCCTGCAATTTGCAAGTAAAGATTGATAAAAACTGTTTGCAACAAATTATTTAAATTTTGCATCACTTATATCATGATTATTCAAATTATTACCTGTGTATTTTCCACTTTTGTGAAAATTTCAACTTTTTGCTTAAACAGTTTTGCAAGGTGTGTTTCCAAAAGTTGTTGGCTCCTTCCCTTCTGAATATTTGAGCGACTCAACTTCTCTTCCCGAAAAGAAGTACTTCTTGATGAATTAGTACTTCCATTACTATCAGCCCTGCGGTGCTTTTGCAAATCTTGAGGTAAAATTTGCTTCACTTCAGTATCTGTAATTTTTAGCTGAAACATATATTAAATAAGATAAATCAATATGTAAGAGTATGTAAAAATTGCTTCAACTTATTACCAAACACATTCATCCAATAAAGATTTATAACTCTTTTCGTATATTATACTCTAGAGTAGACAAAAATAAATCAAATAAGATCAGTATTCTGGTACAATCCTCAAACAATTCAACACGACTTTAAAGATGAAAAGAACAGAGCAATTAATTTGAAAGTACCCACCTCTTGAAGAAATAAATCAACAAACATATGAACTTCTCTTGGCTCCTTGTGCTGTGCAAAGGCAAAGCAACAATTTCACATTCAAACTCTTTCAAAGATAAAACTAGTATTTTTATTTTTGAAACAAAGACATAAAAACATACTAACCTTAACCCAATTAGGTGTGGCAAACCTCTTCTTTACGAGAAGTGATATTCGCTGGGTTCTCATATTTATGTACTAAAAATAATAAAATAAAGAATATGTAAATGCTAATTAACTTGTCGATTGATTTTTTAAATAGAAAAAAAAAAAGATTTATTAAGCAGAGGGAGAGGTATAAGGGTAAGAATAATAAAGGCATTAAAGTGTAATGACATTATTAGTTGGAATGATAACAAAAATTCACACTCACAAGTATTCATAGAAAAGATCTATCATAAACAATAAACAAATAACTTAAATATATACTTGTGGATAATGAACTTAAGATTTTTTCCACCTACTATAAATAAAATAGGATAAATATGATAATATCCATCCCTGCATATATGTGTTATTTAATATTGTTTAACTACCCTGTTTATCTTACTTGTGATAAGTTAAATAGGAAGTTCATATTTTTTGTTAAGTTACAATTTCTTATTTTTATTGTGTTGATCAAATGGTAATTTGGTATATTTGAGTTAATTATTGATTATTTTTTATTTGATAAACTTATTTTTTGAAGTGATAAAATAATGTCAAATAAAAAAATACTTTAAAAAGATTTAGGATGAAGATAAGCATAGAATTATTTCAATAAAATTAAAGTTAAATATAAATTAATAATTTTTTAAATATATTTCTTATATTTTTAATTTTTATTCATAAGTATTCACTTAACAAATAACGACGCGTGGTATGGAACGGGAATGAAGGGAGTACTATTCAGTATTCACTCCCACCTGCCTTGGCCCATTGTTATATGTAATGTAAGTATTAGACATGATGTCCATTAAGCTTTAAACAAAAGCACTCAAGAAAAAGTGCTATAACATAGAAACAACAATAAAGTTGAGCAACTAATCCCTTCGAACACTTGATATGAAATCACTTGAGTTATGTCCTGGTTTATGGAAAAGATTATTTGAATTATTTAACAATATGAAATGAAGTGAAATATGATTGAATGCATCCCACTCAAGTCCATCCAATACCCCTCCTTTTCCTTCCCCCAACACACATTTTAGGGGTAAATAGAAGCATTACTGTGATAGGTTTTTTTTCCCATTTTGTTCTATTCAGAATCTAATATCCAAACAACCAAAAAAGATCGTCGACAAAACAACACCACAAATTTAATATATTATAGGGACAAAAAAACACTTTTAAATATATAAAAAAAAAAATTAGTCAACTAGATACACCAAAAATCTAGATAAAAGTGTTAGCATGACGAGGTAAAAATAATAAACACAATTTTTTTATGCTTCAGAAACGTTACAAACAGAAAACAAACAGGGAACAGCAGTGCCCACTACATCAGCAAAAATACAAATAAAAAATTAAACTTGCTACTTCATCGGAGCGAACGAGTAGATAACAAATATTCAAATACTAACACAACTAAGATATTTAAGTGAGATTTTACTTCACATAAATATACAAAAATACTGACCTAAGATATATTGATATTCTTAGTGAATATCCTTTTTCCTTGGAAACAAAAATATTATCTAGCAAAACATTACTAAAACCAAGCTTCAAAATAACGAGGGATCTTGGATACAACTATATGTTATAAATCAATAAAGGAATGACAGTGAGAGGGTGATAAAAGACAAGATAGAACTATATGAAGTTGAAAACATACCAGCTGCAACAATTTTTCACCAGTTACCCTAAACTTTTGAGAGATCTCTCCAGGAGCAAAGGTCAGACCATATTCATAACCTCTAACACTTCCACCAGAAAAGGAAGCTGATAATTCCTAAACATTACAATGCAAATTTTTAAGGCATACATACATGAAAGAAAATCATTTTAAGGAATTAATTATCATATATAAGTCAATCAAGTGGATCCTTGCCTCAGTGATTTTTGGGATGGCAGTTTGTCCAATAAAAGCAGAAAGTTGGGCCAACACTAGAACAAGGCTATGAAAGGTTTTGTCAGCTTGAGATCCCTCTGACAAACCATGAATTTGAGTAAAATTGTTTCTTTTCGAAAACAATATGAATTGAACCTCAAGTTCACTAAAAAAGTCTTGGTATCCTTGTTGAACCCAATCAATTATTAACTCTCTTAGTTTATCAACAATCTCTAAGTTGTCATCTAGAATTTTGTGGATATCCTGAAACAACACAAAACATAAATAATATAAAATTTTGAACAACGATATTACGTGTATATATATAATATACATGCATAAATATAACCATACATGTGTCCATATAGGTCTAGGTACACCAATGTGTTTACCAATAAAAAATTCCTGGCTCCGTGGAAAACCACTTTTATGCTAGCATCTAGGGCAACTTCCAGTGAGGCCTCCTCTTCTCCATCCCGTTTTAGTACTTTTAAGAGGTGATCTGCCAAATAAAAGTTAACTTATAGCATTGTTATTAAATAATTGTCTACTAACTATTGTGTAGCATGCTCTAATCGGGCGAATAAGACTAGAATCCTTGACGATGTAATTAATATTCTCTGTTTTGTGCTTTTGATCATTTACATAAGATGTCATATTAGCCAAAAGCAATGCCTTCCCAAACAGTCTTGAGAATTTTATGCCTCCATTCTCCCAGAGTGTGACAAGGTAAATATTCCAATTTTTCGTGCTTAGATTTAAAAAATTAGAAACATTCTACAAAGTCATAAAACTAACCTGAGATGTCTTGGATTAGATGAGAAAATGCACTTCTAATATACAGCTTGATAGCAACCTTGGCAGCCTGGAAATATTTAGTTTTATTGATGAAATCCATTTTTGAACTAGAAATGTCATTGGGATTGTATTGTGAATAGAAAAAAGAATGTTGACTTGAAACACAACATCTATGAGTCAATGGCAAAGTAGAGCGAATAACTTTGATAGATGACCTCAAGAGAAAGATTAGAGATAGATGCTTCTTCCAAGACTTCATCCATTTGGAGCACATCATTCCAGATAACACCTATGCCCAAGTGTAATTACACATTTGAAGACACCAAAATTAGATCTAGAAACATTTGCTTATAATAATTTTGAAAATAATTTTTGTGAGCACAACCACATTACTGATTTAAAAGCATGGTATTATAAAAGACATTTCTTTTAATTAATTTGATATAGAAAAAATGTCTTATTACAAACATATATAGCCATGATAAATGGAGATGACGACGGGATTTTACTTGCAGACTAATACATATGATTATTTGCCCTTCATTGCAGAAAACAACTTCAAGGTGGACAAAACAAAATCAAATAGATGCATATAATCGTCAATAGGTTTTCCTGATGGCTATAATAAAAACTACTGTGAATTTTTTTAAATAAAAAAAAATCAATCAATGTAAGAATTTAAATTAACAAAACTAAAAGATTGAAGTGATAACATGATTAATCGACGCTACTTACGAAGCACACCAAGTAAATCTGTTGCACAAATCCGTGTCTTTACGTAGTCCTCTATAAGTAGAAATTGTCTGTATAGCAATAAAAGAGTTAATTTAATTGCATATAATGAAAAATTCATGTTATATAATAAATTTAGTAATATTTTTCACTGTATCATAAAGATACTAACTTGGTTACCAAGTCTTGAGCAAGTTTAACTAATTGCTTTTCTGAATCTGGAAAGATTACTTTAAATGCACGAATGGCTTCCACAAACTCGTGAATGGCTACCTATGTTAAGAAATAAGAGCATAAACATATGCTCAGTTCATCAGTCTCCTAATTATAACTATTAACAAAGACGTATGATCATCATCACGGCATGAAATTAACTGCCCCTCCCACAAGAAATTTTTTTTGAACATAAACAATACAATGCTCAAATAATTTTATCTCACTCAATGACTATGAATTGGAAGTAAAAATAATCTTAGAGCAACAAATATTTCATACTCTCTTTCAAAATATTTGTTACTTCAAAAGTTTTTGTTTTAACTAGAAAACAAAAGAAGTTATTAATTACTTTCTCAAATTTTATCGTTGTCTTTTGATATACTATCTATTAAGTGGAATATGATAACAATAATGGTATTAAGGTAAAGGATATTAATAACCCGCTGAATTTGCTTTTATCTTGAAATTGAGAATATTTAATGATTTATTTTAGGGAGTTGCTACGGTACCCTCAAAGATGGAAGGGTTTCAATACATTTTTCTATGTAAATTCATAAATTTTTTTTAAAAAAATTAATTTAATTATAAAATAAATAATCTAAATTATACTTATAAAATAAAAAGTAAGATAAAATTATAGAGATTAAAATTATAAGTTTTCAATAATATTATAAAATATTAAAGAAAAAGAAAAAATTAATAAATAGTAGAAATAAAAAGTTATTAAAATTACAATATAGAAATTCAAAAATTTAAGACAAAAAGACAAAAAATATACTTAAAAAATTATTAAAATTAAAATATAAAAATTCAAAAATTTTAAGTGAAAAGATAAAAATATACTTAAAAAATTATTAAAATTAAACTATTTAAATATATAATAATATTATTACAAATAAATTAGAATATATAAAATAAAAATAAAATGACTAAATAATTTAAAAATTGAAAGGATAAAATATTATAAATATTATTTAAATAAATTACTAAAAATATAAAATATAAAAAACTGTACCGGTACCCTCTCAAATAAGATGGGTACCATAGAATTTCTCTTTATTTTATCATGTTCAAAATCTAAAAGTTCAAAATTATTTAAAACAAGGGAAATACAATACTGATTCACTATAATCTAGTTTGTTGACAAATAAATTGACAACATCAATCATGGATATTAAATCAATTATCAATTTAATAATTTTTTGGCTATTGTTATCCTTTTGTGCACATGAATTTGATATAATTTTAGAACAACATTTAAATGTCTCCCCAAATAATGTGACAATAACTATATATTAATTCTATACAATGATGCATTAGCCGACATGGCTATCTATATCTTACCATAAATGTTATCTTAGAAAATGTGATTTTAATGTTCGTCAGTTTCCACAAAAGAGATGGGAGTTTATATAAACTATAGTCACTATATAAGATTTTTATTGATAAAGAAAGAATGAGCGAATAGGCAAAAGTTACAAAGAAAAACTGACACACAATGTGACATTTGAACACAACCTTAATCAAACAAACATATAATAGTAAATATAAGCATATATAACCTTTTGAAGAAAAAAAAATTTAAACAAAAAGATAATCCTCTAACACTACGTACCTCATGAGTTGGGGGAGAAGCATTCTCCATTGCTTCAGGAATAAACTGAATGTCTTTAAGGGTAAACTCTAACTTCTCTAGTAGCTTTGTCTTTAAATTTTCCACCTGCCAATAAATAGAAAACCTAACTTTTTTGAATTTAACTAATAATACCAAGAATAATCCTAACTGTGTTATTTCCTCCCTACATGAAATGGGATGGGATGAGTGAAATTGAGACATGTTCGATCCCTATAACTCGCAAAATGCAAGAAAAAATTTATTTATATTAAAAATTATATCATTTTCACCATTTATCATAAATAGTGAGAAAAGAAAATGATTTATCGAGGCCCATCAAGTATTCTCAACACGTGATGCAAAATGTCATTCTAAGGAAAATAAAATCAATACATACAGGAAAATTCAACTGCTTCAAGAGCACTGCAGCCTCGGCTCTCACTTGCAATGATTCAGAATCTGAAAATAGTTTTCCCTGGTTAGAAAAAAAAATGTCAAATCATGAAGAAAAACATCTCAAAACATAATAGCCATAATTAAGTTGTTATTCTATTTAGCATATTATTAGAGACTTGAGATTCATTACATTCCTTGAACTTTTAGATCATGTGTTAGAAACTGGTTTAGAAAGGATAGATTTGAACAAGCTAATGTCATCCAATTTTATCAAAAGTTTGATACCCAAATAAGGTGGGATGTAACTATCCAGCAAGAGCCTTGTATCAAGATGAAAGATGATAGAAAACATAAAAATGCAAAAGAACTGTACCTGCAAGTTTTTTACTATGATAGCTATTGCTTCTTCAGATGCTCGCTTACAATCCTGGAATGATGAATCTCCATATGCCTAATAAAGAGAGGGGAAAAGGGAGCAAAATTAGCAAATATTTATTACATTAATTATAGGAAAAACATGTGCCCAAGTGTGTGTCGTAAGTGTAAAATAATGGAATTAGACAAATGAATTGATTCATTAAAATCTCATCCAAATACGACCTTAAAAATTGGCATTGCACCGATGTAGAACCTGACTGCATCCGCATAAGCCTCAGATTTGATGCACTTGCCTAGTCTATCAGGTAGATCATATATGAACTGCCCTTTCACAAGGATGAAAAATGATATAAAACATTTTGTGTTAAAATCATTGTCCATAAACAAAACTTTGTCAGTCATAACAATGATGTTAACCAAAAAACTAAGATTCATTGCTTTGATACCTGAATTTTACGAAGTAGATTGCATGTCCGATGCATTTTCTCTATATGCTCCCTATTTTCGCATAGAGAAGTATTAACACTGTCACTCCTTGATTGTACAGACATTATCTGCATTGGAGAAAAACGTGGATTACTCATGAACTCTTACAGTTTTCTTTTTTTCGTCTCTTCATGATAAAGTTCCAAGAGTGACAAGTGAAAACATTAAATCTCAAAACAAATTGAATAAATTAATAAATGATTACCTTTTCAAGAAGATGTTCCATATTTTCCTCCATCCCCAAAATATTACTCTTCATTCTGTTTGACAATTTTTTCGTCATTATTTTCTAAAAGCATGCATTAAAAAGAGCATGCATGTGACGAGTGCAGGAAAAGATATAGACAAAATTTTCACGATATAGTTCAACAAATAACGAGGCAAAATTTGCATGTAGCGTAGCAAAAGCTAACAAAAAAGGAAAATCATAATAAAACTAAACCTCTTTATAGTATCTGTAGCGCAAATAAACTTGTTGTAATTCTCGTAGACGAGCATTTGCAAGTCAGTGTCCAGATTCTTTATTTCAGCAACCATTTCAACGTGCCTCTGGAGTAGACCTTCTAAATTCGACTTACGCGCCTTCATGAACGATTGTTTCAATATAAACAAATCATAGTTACTTTCTATCTTCCGCGTAAATGGTTAAAATTTTATATTCTAATAATCAATTATGTTAGTAAGTTATCACTATTAGTCAGTTATATTTTATGTGGTTAAATTAAATGAGTTATATGAGCTTAAATGAGCATGTGTCAGTTTGTTCCATTAGAATTATGAGCTAGAACCCTTTTAATTATTAACATTATAAGAAGATTAAGATGTTCTAATAAACTCATTCACGCATATCGACAACTTTTGCTCTCTTCTCTCCATATGAAGAGAAACACGGTCGTCCATGATGAAATTCAATAAATTTGGTTGAAAAATAACCATAAAGCCATTAGCCTCGATTAATTGGCATAAAAATTCTACAGCAGTTCTTGAAGAATACTTGAATTAAAAACTATCCAGATATTTAACATATCCCTTAATAATCAAGCATGTTATAGATCCTAGAGCCTTTATTATATTGTCAGAAATTTACATTTGTCAATTTTGACTTTCGCATAAAGAATAAATGTCAATATGTCTTTGCATCCAAAGAAAAGAAAAGTAAAGAAAAATTAACAGTTACCATGATATTCATGTACTGATCAGGTTGGAACGATGCAGAATTGATGTCGTCGGGAGAGGTGTGCTTGGAGAAGGGGTTGGAGGAGGCTGAAGGGATGGGAGAGTAGAAACTAGCTAGCAGATCTCTCATTCTCTTTGATTTGTCGTCCAACGGTGTCTCGTCATCGTCCATTGTTTGTTTCTGCGTTTTTGATTCAAATGAATGAGTGTTTTTCTCCTTCTCCAGTATGCAAAATTAATAAGGGAAAGACGAATAACATGTCGTCTTTACCGGAATAACTGTTACTTCCTGGACTACTTTGCATCTGCTACATGTTGTAGAGACTTTTTCAGCTGTGTAACACATGGAACGATGTTGTTACATTATTCACTTTCATTCTTTACACGTTCACAATTAGAGATTCATATGCTATAGAATTGTTTTTTTTTTTATTGATTAATTCCTCCCTTCCTTTTAAAAGTATATAAGCATGTAAACATATATTTTAATATAAAGATGCAAAAATACTGTATATATTATACTATAATTAGTATAATTATTTTGGTGCATAAAACAATTCTTCTTTATTTTATTTGGTGAGAAATTCATGTTTTTAATTCAAGTAGTATTTTAAATTTAAGGAAAATACAAAATAATTAAAAATTAATATTTAGAGCCCAATATTAAAATATCTATATATAACTAAACTAGTATTTAGAATTATACTTTTTTACGATTACAAAATATATGTAGAATGAATTTAAAATAATTTAAATTTAACTTAAAAACGCCTTTAATTCATGTAAAATAAACAAGTCTTAGTTGGTCTTATGCTTTTTTCTTTTTTCTTTTTTTATTTTCTAAAATTTGAAAGTTTATTCTTAATTTTTACTATTATCATGATCACCTTTAACTATTATATGTTTATTAAAAAGTTAAATAATTATCTAAAATATTATTCAGAATTATTATAATATCGTGTTAACACGTGGAACCTATAAATAAATTTATAGTTTTTTAAAATAAATATTATTTATATACCTTTTAAACTAAATTTTAAAGGCCAAAAATAATAATTTAAGACTTTAGAGAATAAAATGTTTAATATATATACATATATATTATAAAGATCAAGATTAAAATATACCTATTTTGTAAAGAACAAAAATAACATTTATATATTTTAGAAAGATAAAAATTTAAAGACTAAAAATAAAATTTATTGATTTTGAAGAACTAAAAATATGGTTAAACTATTAAATTTTGAGTAAAATATAAGTTAATATAAGGAATGGATTATGTGAGTGGTATAAAAATAATGAATTTCAATTATTTAATTAAATCAACGGTCAGATTTAAAATTAACTGGTAATTAAAACACTTTTGACCATCCACGTGTAACTAATAAAAAAATTTAATTACTAGAGTTAGTTAGTACACTTCATCTTTCACTTTCATTTTATATATATATAGATAGATATTGTAACATTCCAAAATTTTATTTTTTTTATGTATTGGAATTAATAGAAGAGTTACCATATTTTTATACGTATTTTACTATTTACATATACGTATTTTACTATTTACATATATGTATTTTACTATTCATGTATACGTATGTATGAATAGTATTCTACTATGCATGCATAGTGAATGGCTGCGCATGAGGGGCGGCTACGAGGGGCTGCGGAATTCAGAATTCTAAAAATTTAATTAATTCTAATATTTTAATGAATAGTGCATAGTAACTTTAATATTATAATAATGAAATAATATTATTTTAATGAATAGTGCATAGTGCATAGTAATTTCAAAATTTCTATAAATAGGGGCCTAGGGTTTTGAAAATTCATAATTCTAGAGAGAAGGAAATTCTAGAGAGATAGAAAGGGAGAAAGAAAGAGAGGAGATTCTGCCCTAGTTCCGGTTCCGATTTAAGAAAAAGAGGAGGAGGTTCTGCCCAAGTTACTATTTATCCAGGTACGGGAGAAAAGAGGGTTATTTATATGTAGAGTACATGAGGGTATTGGGTAGAATTTCTCAGAAGCATGTTTAATTTATCTGAATGGAAGGCTGAGCCTCCTATTAATTTATAATTTAAACGTTTTTGATAAAAGACTAAAATGTACATCTTTGTTATATTTTTATTACATGATTTGGAAAATATAAATGGATTCCTAACTAGGAGGCACTGCCACCTTTACTGGA